AGGAGCGTTCCTTATCTCCCAGAAATAGTCAGAAAAAGTCCGAAGTAGTCAGATTTAGTCCAAAAAGCGTTCCTTAACTCGGAAATGACAGCAAAAATGAGAGAGCAACAGTCAGTGAGAGTGACTCTCATCAGTCCGAAGTAGTCAGATTTAGTCAGAAGAATTTTTTCTGGCAAAATCCTGAAAAGTGTCAAACGCAACTGAATTTAAATTAACGGAAATTAAAGAATACGCAAAAAGTGAGAATAATCTAAAAAGTAAAAGAAATGAATTGAAATTGGAAGGAGGCAAAAAATAATTGATATAGTAAGTGTTTATTGTGCTTGTGCTTGTGTGAATGTGTTTTGTACATACATTTCCATTCTTATTTGACGTTAGTTTTGTTGTTGCCAATCTTTGGACTAAAAAATTTGGTTTTTTGCGTTCCTTTACTTTTCCTGTTATTCTCTTTTAGTGAGCGAATTTTGCTTACGCTCTGGCATTTTGACACTTTTCAGATTTTAGTCCAAAAGGATAAGAAATGAACCTAAAAAGTGGTGTTACTAGCTCAGTTGATTTTGTGTATGTGTTTCGCCGCACGGCTTCTGATATCAAATTGAAAAATTTTGTTTGAATTTCTACTCACACTTACAGGTTTTGACAGTTTATGCCGCCAAAGCAAAAACAAAATACATGTAAATTTTTGTTTTTGTACTCCTGCAATCACCTTATATTGATTCGCCTTGGCACAAACAAAAGTAAAATGAGTGGAAACAAAAATATTAATGATGTACTGGACAGTGTTAGTGCTTGTGTGTAAAGCAAAGAGTTTAAAACTGATTTATAAATAGTAAAATGTTTACAGCAAATTGTCAAAGCAGTGCAACAACTGTTCACTTGCAAGTTATTGCTAGTTTTGTGTTCAATAAGTTCTTCTGCTAGTTTTCTCTTGTTCTCAATTTAACGCTCTATTTTGCTTTTACGCTCTCGCTGCAATGTTACTGTTACTATACAAACCTAATGTTACTCGCATATTTTCGAGCCTGTATGTACATTTTCGGGAAAAAGGTTAAAAAGTGTATCCATCTGCTGAAAAGATATTTTCGCAGATTCACAATTTATTTAAAATAAATCTATTACCCCAATCTCCAATTCCATGTGAATAAATCTCCCCAGTGCTTAAATAATTTTCACCACATTAAATAGCTGCACAACACCCTAATTGCCGAAAAAGCGTTGCTTGCAACACTAGTCCTTTATGGGGACCAAACTTGGCGAAAAAAAAATAGCTAAGTTTGTTTACTGGATATACTGAGATTAAAAGTGTGCATTGCTATGGATAACAAATTTAAAAGCAGCTCGCGCGTTAGAAACAATGCAAAGGCAAGTGTCATTAGTTGCGTTCCATAACTCGCAAGAAATTGCGAGAATTTACAGGAATTTAATAGAAAGCGTGGAACAAATGCAGTTGGGCTCCAAATTTTTTTTTTTATTGGGTGGGCTTTAGATTGGTAACCCCGGAGTACAGCATTATGGAAAATATGGGAGGTAGAGGGGGGTCTAACAGTTCCCTGTATGAAGTTTCAAAGCGCGCAACCTTATACTTTTTAAGGAATTTGTTATTAAAGTTTGTAATCCCAAACGCGGAATCGAATCAACAAACTTCTACACACACTTGTAGACAACAGTTCACGCTTTATTAAAAAAATTTAATTACTAAATCTGTGCACTAATGTAACAATAATGTCGGTTGGAAATATGGTATTTGTTGCAAATTTTAGGTGGGCTTTCCAAAGCGGAACCAATCGAAATTTCAGCGAAAGTATAAGGAATTTGGGTACTGTTTAGTAAGTGGCCCACCTATTTCGGTGTATTGCGTCCAAAGGGGTGGCCCGATCCTAAAAAAATTGCACACACTTGTAGCCAAGGGTCTACCCATTATTTTAACATCCACTCTTGTAATTTTGGGTCACTAATTTATTTACAAATTGGGTTTGAAATATGCCCTTTTTTGTAAAATTCGGAAATTAGCGTAAATTTATCACTCCTATTCTCCTTAAAGCAGCTACATCAGCAATAT